AAAAAAAAAAAAAAAAAGAAGCACTCTCTCCTAAAAATGTGCATCCAACACACTTTAAGATTAGGAAAATTATCTAGCAACCAAATCCTTCCCATCGGCTAACGAATTAGCCTAGTTTATCTTTAACATGTGTTTTAAATTGTAATCTTATCTTAATTTGCAGTATACATACTTTGTAAAGTGATGAAAAATACACTTCAATCTAGTTGTACTTCTTTCTATAAGTTGAAAAACTCAAACCACCACTTTTGGCCATGGCAAGTAATAATATTTTGAACTATAATTTTGAATTTCGATAATTCTATTTTTAAAGAGCATATTCTNNNAGAGCATATTCTACAATTTAGAGAATATCTATAAATTTAGAGAATACAAATTTTTAAATACTCCAGCAAGCTATTTATATTTAATACTTAATTTTATTACTAAAAAAATATAAGTAATGCTATTTATCACCAACTTAAGTGTTAATTATGTGATATTAAATGATAGATTCATTTAAATGTAAAGTCAAATAATCCATTTAATTTGATATATCAAGTGTGACCATCTAAATTGGTGTTTTAGCACCATTTGTGCTAAATAGTATTATTCAAAAAATATTTTTTGTTTTTCCATATATTTTATTTTTACTAATTTCTTTCTAGATTATTATATTAGTTTTCTCCATTGAAAATTGAAATACTTTGAATGTATTTAGTTATAGAGGGTAGATTTGACTCTTCACTCTCTAAATTAAAATGTTAATTTAAAGAATATTTTGTAGTATAATTTTAAGCATTGACTTTTTAAAATAAAGATCATTTTATGTTGAAAGAATTATTTGGAGAGGTTCTCACCCATACAACTCGCAAATTTATAAAATAGTTGAGCATCATTATTGTTGTTAAGAAAGTTTTGCTCGAGGTTTGAAATGATTAAAGTATGCAAGTACTTATACATTTATACGTCTGCATGTACCTCTTAGCTTGCGGCGAAATCCCGCTTAGTCCACGTTTGATTTAGCTGAAAAAAATTGATTAAAATTTAAGTCAAATTCAATAATTAATTTCAATCATATATTTTACAGAATCCACAAATTTTCAACTACACATTCTATCGACTTTTATCGGAATCTAATAAAAAATTGATTTTTTAAATTAGAGTATGAGATTTTCACCATCATTTTTACCCTATTTTTTACTTTATTCACCATAATTTATGCCACATTATTCCTTTAAACATTGCTAGTTATTTAATGCTATTTAGTTCCACTGGTATCATAACTTAATTTATGTGGGGCTAATGTGACATTAAATGATAAGTACAATTAAATGAGTCGTTTAATTACACATTTCATTTAGCCCACCACTTAACACTATATGGATTGGAGTTATAGTCTCCCAATGAGTCTAAGTAACATTATTCATTCCATAAAGAATAATGCTATTCATCCCTACTGGGATTACAAATATAGTCTAGGTAGCGTTAATGTGGCATTAAATGATAGGTGAAATTAAACAAGTCATTTAATTTCACATTTCATTTAAAATCACCTAAATTGTGTTTGTAACCACACTGTGAATGAATAACATTACTCTTCCACAAACTGTATATTTGCTATATCTATGCCCTTATTTTCAAGAATTTATTTTTTCTCTCTCTCATTCTCCGCCCCCCCCACCCGACCCCACCCCACCCCACCCCACCCCACATGCTTTCAGTAAATTAATTTTACACTAGGATTCATAATTTTTCTGTACTTTTTAACAATATATTCTAAAAAAATAAAAAAAACCACCCATCTTAAAATCCATTATAAAAAAAAAATCTCTACCAAACATGAGTTTGATTTATCTGACAATCCGAATTCTATAACCAATATCACACTAGAACTAGTTTCAATTCATGTAAACCTTGTCCAGTCCATGTAAAATAATTTGTAAATTCCTAATCATATTGATTAGGGTTCAATATTTTCATACTACCACAATACCAGTGTTGTTACATCTTCAAGACTTTAACATCCCAAGCTTACAGCATCTTCACTGTATCGGCATATTTTCATCTTCCGCTATTTCATATCATCCTGACCTTCGCACCAAAAGCCATCTTTTCTAGTAATATCGCTACATCCATCATTTCCTTGCCATAATCATAGGCAACTGAAATCACGAACATAGTATAGCAATGATGATATTGGATTATAAATTTAGTCATCCATGTTTAAACGTGGGACTTTTAATTTTGTTCCACCCATCAAAAGCGACCTAGACGTGTCAAGATGGGTTCATTTGAGATTTCTTGACAACAATTATGGACATCGATCACAATACCTGCACACATGACGCGGCACTCAAGCGCTGCAGTCGGGCGCTCAAGCGCCGCGAAGAAAATTAGGGTAT